CATTGACTGTGCATTTTGAAAGCAGCCACTTGTTGTGGGCATGTCAATAAACAGAGCAAGCTTTATGCACTTTAAACCTCTACTGTGAATGTAGATATTTGCCAGTCCACTACCAGCACTCACCTGATTCTTACACAGTGCTAAGAGTACATCACATTTTGCAACAAACAGCTGACATTCTTCCCAGACAGGCTGAAAGATTTTATAGTAGAGTGAGATCAGAATTAAGTTCCACTCTAGTCCTCATGTATGTGGATGTGCATGGAGACTTAAAGGACCACTATAGTCACCCAGACCACTTCAACTCAATGAAGTGGTCTGGGTGCCAGGTCATTGCAGGGTTAATCCAGCCTCTAGTGGGGGGATCCTAAGGATTATATAGTGTCAGGCAAACAGGTTTGTTTTCCTGACACTACAGTGGTCCTTTAAAATTACACTCTTTACTGTCCCCACTTCATCGCATTAAAGTGGTCACTGACCTTCCATTCAGTGGTAAACCGTTTTGTTCAGTGTTAAACAGGTTTAGTCTTTGGGCTTTCTTTGCTGTTTTAGCTAAACAGTATTAGCATGAGCAGCAATGCATGGCATTGATTGACCGAGGGTGTCTCCTGACCTCTCTCATCACAGCCACCCAGAGCTGGATTTATACCACAAGCAAAAGAGTTTTCAAGCACACACAACCCCTTCCCACTCTTCTAAACTCCACAAGTATTTGACAACAAACTTGATTTTTCCACGACAGGAGGCTTCGTATTTTTCAATGGGTGCATCGTTTGCAGACATCATGTGTTACACGCATTGGTCTCGCGAAGCTTCCTTTCAGGTCTCTTATTTCCATCCTTGTTCTCCTGCTTCCTTCACTTTACTGTGATCCAAGCGTTAAAAACGCAAAATAAGTATCCTGTCATGTGGTAAAATTGTAGATTATGCTCAGTGTACCTATAATATTAATTTTAGTACTGACAGGAGGCGAGTATTTTCCCTCTAGGTACACTCCGTCAGCATACTCTACAATTATTTAATATGATAAACATGTTGTAGACAAACACACTGTGTATGCATTTGTATGACTGTTTATAACTGTCGCAGTGTGTGTCAGCTCATCTGAAGTGAGCAAGTGTGAGTGTGACTCAGTCTGTCTGAGATTTTGCTTCATGAATTCTGTGAGGCCTTCTTGCTTGTCGTCTGGCTAGGTCAAATGATCTCTCCGGACGACACACGATGCTACCCAAGGTTGTATTTACCACAAGGCATTTGCCTAGGGTGGCACTTTTGGGGGGGCAGAAAAAAAAATGCCACCCCAAGTGCCCAGGTAAATGCCTTGTTTGTCTTGTGTACTGGGGGGCCCAAGAGCTGGCTGACACCTTAGGGCCCCCCTAGGTGTTAAAGTACTAATATTCCAGCCAGGTGATGAGGGAGATATGTCCTTTTAGATTAAAAAAAAAATTGTGTGTGTGTGTCAGTCAAAAAAAGGCCTTGACTCGAATTGGTGGGGAAAATTTAGATAAGGGTGTGCCAAAATTAGTTATGCCTAGGGCAGCACAAATCAAGAATACACCACTGATGCTACCTAAACCTCTGTTTGCCTCAAGTGCCTCTCATAGGCATTCACTGCCTCTTAAACCTGTATTTAAACCAGCTCCCCATTGCCAAACTACCCATTGTCAAAACTGCTTAACCTCGAGCTATCCTGGTTAAGAATTGACACTTCTAAGTCTCTGGTACTGATTCAATTCTTCTCTAAGTTCTCAGGTGGACTCTGTGGAGGACAGCTTTCAAGATGATTCTGGCACAATATGTTTTAGGCAGTTAGTTAATATAAATTAGTTTTTTTCCTTTTTTTTTTTTTCTTAAAAACATTTTTTTTTTTTATTATTATTTAGTGTTAGGGGGATGGGGAGGAACTTAGTGTGCAGCTTTCGGTATTGGTGGCTCCATGCAAAGCATAGGATTTATACTCTACAAAAGTATTTTTTTTTCCCTTTTACCTTGCAATTAGTATACAGTCATGCATGGACACACACAGACACAAGCACCCTCATATAGCATGGGAAGGAAAGGGAATGCTATTTATGCATTAAATGCACAAACCTTTTTCAAGCCAATGTGCAGTAAATACATAAACCTTGTATATCATGAAAATGAGCAGTAATACATAAACCTTGTATATCATGCCAGTGAGCAGCAAATACAAAAACTAAGTTTACCATGCCAATGAGCAATACACATTTAAACTTGATATACCATGCCAATGAGCAATAAATACATACACTTGGTATATCATGCCAAAGAGTAGTAAATGTATCAAATTTGTATATCATGCAATAGTGCCATGTGCCCCCAAACAGCATACCATTGCCATCTCTCTGCCACCATCCTCTCTGATTCATATCTCTGCCACAAGCCTCTCTGTGCCATCTCTCTACCTCCAGTGAAGGTGACAGAGTGTGTGTGGGAGGGTGTCAGTGTGTGGGGATGCCGACCATGTGTGTGGGATGGACAGGGCCACCATTAGGGCATGACAACCATGTGCCCGGTGGTCCTGGGGGCCCCGGACTGCACTGGGAGTTCCAGGCCCCACATTCCCTATGTGTGTGTACATACAAACAAATAATTTACACACACAAAGTAAAGTCAGGAGCACTCGGTTTTCCAATATATATTAAATTACTTCACAATCTTTACATCAACATTTTGACCCTCCTGGGCTTTTATCAAGATAATGACAGTGCAAAACAGTGGAAATATATAGCCAATATTAAGTGAATGACTTACCCCATCAGTGTGAAGTAACTCCCAACCTGATCCTCGTGAGGTATTTGTGGCCCATGTGCATACGTGGTGACATGAACGCCAAACTAACGCGCGTGATGACATGAATCACCACGTGTATCCATGACAACCATATAGTGATACATACGTTCGCTAAAATCAACATGGATCAAATTGCCTAAGGATTATGTGTGACAGAGAGGAATGGAACCAGCAATTTGACAAGAGTATGGTTGAAAGTGAACAAATATATCAAAGATATGAGAGGAGAGATATAGACAGAGTGAATAAGTGAAAATGTAAATAAGTATGGATGCAAGTAACCAAATATATCAAATATATGAGACGAGGGATGTAGAGAGAGTGTGACAATGAAATAAGGAAGGTGAGTGTGTGTGTGTGTACTGTGTATAAAGAAAACTTGA